GCAAAGGACGTAGAACAGCGTTTACTTGAATGAATAGTGAGAGTTATGTGGGAGGATCACATAAGGAGGAACACCTAGCAGGCACAGCCGTCAGAACGACAACCTTATGCCATGGGCACATCTTACCTTGTCATCTGATAAGGAGGTCATAATTAAAAATTGAAATGTATAGTTTCCATTACATGGGCCTTATTTATGCTCTCAGCGCTTATTAGATATTCCAGCGGTTATATTTTCGAAGGGTTCAGCCGCCCGTGTGTTTTATAAACAGAAATGAATGAAAGGATTTACACAAATAATATTTACAATTTCTACTGCTATTATAACGACATATTGTAGGTCAAGAACTGTTGAATGGTTCTTTTTGAGCAATCGTTTTTTTATCAGCTCCTTAATGTCATGTATGTAGCTTCAAAATTCTGAATTATCATCATTTTTATCAATCTGTTTAAAATGCTGATAAGCACATGCTTGCTCTGCCGCAGTAAAATAAATTCTGATTTTGCCAGAATGATTTTGCTCTTTTTAGGTATATGTGAGTTCGGTAGATGTGGAGATTGGGAAAAGTGGTCGGCCCAGTTAGACAGAGGGATGTAGCATAAATTATTTACTCCAATCCAAGAACTTCACGTGTAAGTGCCATAATAAGATAGTCCTCGTCCATGAAGTCAAGAGTCTGCATAAATGAATAAGGTAGAATCAGGTCTTTTTTCAGAGAGCAATATTTTCTTCGATGATGCCTTAACCAATGACTTATGGCAAAAGTGTTGTTCAGCTGCAAATATAGCGGACTTCGCAAACCAGCGACATTTTGCTTATGCAAACTGCTTAAGGAGATGATCTCGACAGACACTCACAATTGGGTATATTTCATGACATAATGATGTCAGAATCTATTTAGCAAGGTTCTGCCTGAAGAACAGGTCAGAAAAAGGTAAAAATTTTCTGAATTTATAACTTAACATTCTGAACTGAGAAGAAAGTGAAAAATAATATGTGAATAATAGAGGATCGTTAGCCACGACAGTCGTCTAAGTTAGTGTGTCTAGAGATACGGGAACCAATAAGTCTATGAGATTGAGAAAGTCCAAACTGGAGGGGGGGGGAAGCTCCAGAGGATTAATAAGAGGATAGAAAAATGATCAGAAGGAAAAGAGAAATTAAGTCAGAGTGCACTTATTTGAGTCCTTTCAGATGATTCAATTAATTTCTTATTTATGCATTGCACCAGATGCTAATTAGGAGCAATTTCGCGTAAAAAATTTTTATAAGTGTACATGTGATGTTTTTAGCTTGAACAAAGTTTAAACTTGATATGCGAACGGCTTCGGCTTGTTTCCTAATCACTGAAGTCTAGAAGCAAAACGACGGTGCAACATTGCCGTAACACCTCTTATAATGACATGCATTGGCATCCTCTACGACTGTATTGATGCAAACCAAATTGGTAATAGGGAAGAAAAACAGCAAGAAGGGAGATTAAAACGAAGTCTGAACGCAAATGCTCGAGTTCCTGTTGGACTAAAACCATCATCTTCTTATTTGGTGGCTGTACCAGGTGTAGAGTATGAAAAGTTTTCCCATGACTAATGATTAATGAATTATGAGTAAACGAAACGTGTCTTCAGGCTCTTTATAATGATCTGCGCATCACTGGGTTGTGTTAACGCAACGTGTTTGTGTCACATCAGAGTGATCTGCCTGACATGAGATATCATGCTGGTTTTCACTCTAATTCCTTCCATTTTAAACGCCATTCGTTGGTGGTAATAAAACTCTGCAATAATGGGTTACCGGCCTGACTAACAGCGTTCACGATCTTTGGTTTGCTAAATGACGGTAAACAATAATTGCTGAATTAGGCTGTCCAGCAACTTGCGTTGCACTCATGCAGAACTCCCGATTCCGTAAACAGCTTCTACGTTCAGAAAGGCGTAAGTTGGTCGTATTCATG